ACAAAAAAGAAACAATTTCATCAAAGTGAAATTAGGGCTGATATTCATAGTCAAGTCTTATATTCGTCAATGAAATGTTCCATACAGCATCTTTAGATAAAGTCAAGACAGTCTTGAATATAATTATAATCTGAAGGAACAAAGTTTGTCATTAAAAAAAACAATTTTATTAAAGTGAAATTAGGGCTGGTATTCATAGTCAAGTCTTATATTCAAAACCGTCTTAAGATTCTTTAGATACTCCGTAGCCAATGAAACATTCCATACATCATCTTTAGATAAAGTCAAGACAGTATTGACTATAATATAATCTAACTATGAATACCGGCCTAGATATTAGATAACAAAGTCCGACAGTCAGAAAATAAAATTGGGCAAGAGACAGAATTTTCAGGAAGTCAAATAATTCGTGGATGATAAAAAAATTAAATAAATCTTACGCGAAAAAATTAAAAATCTCCACGGTGGAAGATCGTAGAGGCACTTCCTTCGCTAAATTAGCGAATAAGTTTACTCAGGTTGAAGACGGTCGCGCTTTAAAAAGCAACAACTGCAGTAAACTAAACGAGAAGCAATTAAGTATTTAAAGCGACAGAGTTGCGTATACGAGCGCGTAATTTGCCTTCACACAGTTTCAATTGCAAAATGAAGACGCGGAAGACGCGAGCTGCGGACGAGACGAGCTCTCGACCCATGCATACGCACGCGCGCGCACGCACGCACGCACGCACGCACGCACGCACGCACGCACGCATCAGCCGGCGATACTCACGCGAACGTGGAGGTCCCCAGGCCGTTTATGTACTCCAGGAAGACCGAGTAGGGCAGATAAGTCTCGCCGAGCTTCTCGACTCTCTGCGGGTCCCGTAACTCCGTGCCGCCCTGAAACACGAAATGCCGGCGGGCGGTCGTCGTTAAAATCGCGTCCGGGAAAACTCGCGCCGCGCCGTCAATGTCAATTTCGCGGCAGCTGTGCCGATCCGGCGGCCGGTTTCGTTCGCCAGAGAGACAGAAGAGAAGAGAAGAGAAGAGAGGAGAGAGAGAGAGAGAGAGAGAGAGAGAGAGAGAGAGAGAGAGAGAGAGAGAAAGAGAGAATGAGCAAGGTGGAGAACACCCGCCTCCTCCTGGCATTAGTGGTCGCGTAATTTTAGAACTACGACAAATCTCGCCGCGCCGCTGCGAGAAACCGCCGAAAATAGACGCGTTGGAGCCGCGACCTCTTCTAGAACGCAAAAGAAAGACGCGGCTCGGCGGAAGTGAAGAGCGAGGAGAGAAAAGACGGGGAAGAAAGCGCCCTATTGCGCGCTCCCGGGGGCGCATCTTCCCGGGGTGGGGAAGAGAGACGTAAAGACGTGTCGACGGCGCGAATTCTTATGTCGAAGGGACATACTTAACGAAACTGATACGAAATTACGTACGAGTGGGGAAAATTTGACTACCCAGTGAGAAATGACACGTCGATCGATGTTCGAAACAATGTCGAGCCGATACCGAGTCCGACGGTGTCGATGTAGGGTAGTTTCCGCGTCAGATTGCACCGGAATGCCGTTCTCGGTGCGAACGGAGGAATCAATTAAGAATCACCTCGGCCAAGGTCCAGAAATGTGAACAGGAATCGATAGATACCGCTCACACGGAGGGAATTTTCCCTTAAACTTTATCCCGAAGATCACGTGATCGTGGGACAACACGGCACTTGGGAGAATTTTCTAAGAGCTTTTTTCCTCTAGTAAAATGTATGATAAATTTTCAGAAAGCTCTCATAAAGTTCTTCAAAATGCCCGGGAAAAATTGCTTATATCTAATCATATCTGAGTATATCTAACTCAGATATAAGCAGATATGATTAGATATATACATTTGTCCCGGGTGCCATGTTGTCCCAGGATTGTATGATTTTCGGGGTAAAGTTTCAGAGAAACTTCTTTCCGCGCGAGAGTAGAATCTGCGCGAAATCCTGTATCGGACTACGCATTGGAGATCGAGGCTTTTGCAAATCGGAGATTAGGATTCAACCAGCGAAGGTATCACAGATGTTACTGCCCGAACAATGGCGCATGTCCGAAACACGTCTTGAAGACATCTTCATCTTCCTTGACATCTTTTTCTAATCGTAACAATCATTCACGAAAGTGTACAGCTATATATCGCGAATCGTAGCCCCCGAGAGCTCCATTCCTTCATCATTCGCGCTCCAAAACCGCACTCGCTCCTCCTCTCTCTCTCTCCTCCAGCGTCACTCGATACCGCGAGACCCACCGCTTCCGGCGGCTACTGGGAACGGAAACGCGCGCTCGCCGCAAGCACTTACGGAAGTCGGAAAGACAGGGTCGCGGAAGGCGATCGAACGGATGGAGAACTGGGTGAAAAAGAACCGTCGCGGAGGCCGCTCCTCTTCGCTCTCCTCCCGAGAACGCTCCCGAGAGCGGGAAACGGCTCGCGCGCGGGGACTGCCGATGCTCGGGGACGCCACGGCGAACGAGACGCCGGGCGTTCAAGGATGCGCGCGCGCGCACTTCCGAAAATGCGATTCGCGCTCCTGAATCGCCGAAGATTTTTAGACAAAATTTCGGTATTTTCTGGGGAGAAAAAAAACAGACGGGCTCCTTGCCGGTCGCGGAGACGCGACGAACCGGTCGTGGTGCTGGCGGGACCGAAAGAGAGGACCGTGTCGCAAGGCCGATGGCGCTATATATCGCTCCTATTTTACAATACATTGAAGCGTAACAGCGTGGGATCCGGAAATTTGTTCTGTGGGTGTAGAAATCTACCTGTTTTGTGGGTGTAGAAATCTACCTAAAATATTTTCTTGGGTGATGATGAAAAAGTATCTTTAGCGCGCCCGGTCGTCGAGTCTCACGGCAGATTTCATACGGGCAGAAATGAGTGCGCCGCGCCGCGCCGGTTACATCGGTTTCACGGTGTCACAAGGCGACGCGCATTACAATTACGCGCGCGTTAGTCACGCGCGCGTGTGTCCGCGCGTATTTTCGTCAGCGTGGATAAAGTAATGCAGCCGTAATGATTTCATCGCGTTGCTTTTAGTCACGCGCATCGGCGTCGCGGATTATTACTTCCGCAATACCGCTCGACGCCCGCCCCGGTGTCGCGCTTCAACCAGCACACGGCCGAATCACACGCTGCCAGGGGGAGATTTCGTAATTTCGTAATATAATTTTAGCATAACAACAATGTAACGTTAATATGACTCCGGAAATAGACTCTTTCAGGTGTCACCTCCTTCGCCCCCCCCCACCCCTCAGAAAGTTGCGCGGGATGTTAAATAGCTTCGCACTCTGTTAAGGGGATGCTAGAGTAATTCTGCACTTTTGCACCTTTCTGACCTAGAAACTATCAGTTCGCGGAAACACTTGTGTAATATACAGATTAAGTGGCTTACGTGTACAGATCGAAAGCAGCTTGCTATTCCGGCAAAATGAAAGAACAATATGGCATCACTGAAACTAAGTTTGTAAGTCTAATAAAAACTAATAGTGAGCAACACACATACTACATGTACTGTGTGTGTGCTGCTCACTATTATTTTTTATCAGACTTACAAACTTAGTTTCAGTGATGCCACATTGTTCCTTAATTTAGCCGGGATAGCAAGCCGCTTTCGATCTGTGCACGTAAGCCATTTAATTTGTATATTACACAAGTGTTTTCACGAAACAGACAGTTTTACATGCAAAAGGTGCAAAAGTGCAGAATCACCCCAGCATCCCCTTTAAAGCGCGAGGAGCAACTCTTCGCACGTATTGCGACGAAAAGGCGAATAGTTTGAGCGACACGCGAGATTTAGGAAGCGTCGCATCTCGAGTCTCGTAAACCCGCTTACTTCTGGGATCAACCCTTCCGCTACCAAGTCGAAGATTTCAACCGAGTTTACTCGAGAGTGATCTTTGTCTCTCTCCCCCCCTCTCTCTCTCTCTTACACACACACACACTCACACACACACACACCCACGTGTCTTCGAACACATGGAAGGAGCATGAAAATACTTTTGTCCGGACCCAACGCGGGGAGAACTACTCTGGGGTAACTTCACCGTCCGGTCCAGCGGACGCGGCGACCAGGAAGCAACCACACCGGAGTGATCGGGGGAAGGAACATTTTGTCGCATGCGAGGATGCACACACGGACGGACTCACCTTATACCTTCGCCTTGCGTTGAGTCTGAGCGCGTGGAGGGCAGAAGAAAGAGAGCGAGAGAGAGAAAGAGAGAGAGAGAGAGAGAGAGAGAGAGAGAGAGAGAGAGGGGGGGGAGAGGAAGCGGGCGTGTTCGTGCGGCGGGGATTATTTTCGGATTGAACCGCACCAAATTTAGTTCCCGCCCGTGTCTAGCGTATCGTATGGCCCGCCGTGCGCGACTCCGCCGCTCTACGACTAAGGCCTTCCGACAGATCGCCCGCGACCTGGAGCCGCGGATCGGCCGATAGGCCGCTGATAGGTGCACCAAGCGCGACGGGAAGCGACGCTACCATTAATTTCCCTCGGCTCGTTGATAGCGCGGCCCCGGTTATTTATATACCGCGCTGATTCCCCGGCGGCGTAGTCGCGCGATGACCCCCTCGGGTGGCGACCTGAAGATTGTTAATGTTGCCCGCGGCGAACGTGAATGCAAGCGAAAAGAGAGAAACGTTCACCGCGTGGGTGCAGAGCCCGGCACTGGTAGAATGAATCCGGTGTTTATTCAGCAAACGCCGGAAGCTGGACGGGCGGGACGCGGCGGTGCTTACTAACGCGGTTGTTGATGCTGGCCGGGGCAGCCGCAGTTGACGTTTCGAACGCGCCGGGATACTCACGAGGAGGAAAGAAAGCACTCGGGCGGAGTATCGAGTACGGCGCGACGGGAACCACCTGCGTGACTGAACGAAAACCCCGCGCTGTACTTATAGCGTATCGTCGCCGTGATGCGGGCACGGCGCCTACTAAACGCCCGATCGCATCCCGATCGAGATAATCGGATGCCCCGCTAGTGGCGGAGAATACTCACGGGTCGGATACTCTGGATGCCGGCGGGACCGAAGAAATACTCCCTTCCGTACGCGACTATCGCCGTGTGCCATATTCCGTCCAACTTGCGACCTGCGAACCAAAGTCGAACGATGTTATTTTAACAATGGACAATAGCGCAAAGTGGTATTTAACGAGATATCTGTATTATCAGGCATTTTGTGCACTTGGCGCAATTCCAACACCTTTACCGCTCGATGCCATATTGAGATTTTTTCATGTTAAGCGGAAGATAATTGCAATTGATAATTAGTTGGCAGTCGTAGGACTTTACGATAAAAATAATAATAATCACGCGATAAATATCTAGCAAATAATTTTCATTCGACGGAATAAAGGATGTAAGAGCCAGGACAGGATGTATCTAAATTGTTTTAATTTTTAAATTCATTGCGAGCAATTCACCTCAACCAGGGTTTGAACCTGGACAGGGGGGTCTTGGCTCTTATATCCTTTGTTCCCTCGAATTGTGATTTCACGTCAGAACCTTGTGAATTTTATTGTTTAAAACAATTTAAATTTGACAAAGTTTAGCGACGCGAGACATCTCGCGGTGTGTATATCCGTCGAAAGATAAGAGTTAAAAGACTCTCCTGAAAACCATAATCGCTGGTTCCAAGTTTTCGGAACTTGAGAAAGAATGATATGAAAACTGATTCTATTTGTATCCGCGGTGTGATCCAACGAGGCAACCTCGAGACAGGCTTAAATTCAGGCTCGCGATACTCTCTTGTCCAAGGACCGACGGAGACGATAAATAATCGTCGCGACTTGTCCTCGCTAAATTCGCCGGCTAGATCAGAGGCGCGAAACGCGAGGCCCCGCGGACCCGGACGGAGCTTTCGAGCTCGCGGACCCGCGTGTTGCCTCCTTCGACCCAGTTCTGCACCGCGGAAATAGCTAAGTACATCCGCGTACACGCGTCGCCTCGTGGCTTTCTCATTGCGCCTCTCGGGCCTCCGAGTGATGTCGACCTCGCAAGAAATAACCCGGGCCGTTATAATTACTTCCAGAGCGGTGCGAGACGCCGACGTTTACGACGAATTCGAAGACGGCAGGCGGGCCTCAGGCTTTTGATGCCGTAGATGCAACGGGGTATATTTATAGAACGTAACTTTACGTAATGCGAATTTTCGACTTGGTATCTCGAGGGAACAAATCGCACCTTTGTTCACCAACGCGGAATTAAGTCTCCTTCAAATTGAATTGGAAATCATTATCGGACGATTAATCGACGGTCTTACGCATGGCATCGATTCGATTGGAAGTCGCGAATTCTTACAATACTTAGAATCTGGTAGATATGTCTCACATAATTCTCTCTCTCATAATTGTCGGGACAATCCGTAAGATAATCCCGACATCCACGAGGTCTCGGCACTCGTTCGACCTGGGGGTCAATTATGTATCTTAAGGCTTGTGTCCACGATGCTAGAAGTTGGTCCAAGTTCC